TCGCTCAGCTATTAATTTTCGCAATCTCCCTCCCCATGATCTCTCCTTTCAGTTTCTAGCCAGGACGCTATCAATTTAAAGTTTTGGGCTTCGGGTTTGTAAAAGTTCTCCAAGGTAGAAGTTCCAATGCTGCCCTTCCCTTGGTCTTCGATCTCGCTCTTAACAGCGCAGTAATTTTGGACAAACTAATATCGTTCAATTTTATCAAGATAAAGACTGACAACAGCCCCAATTGTTCCATTACAAATTCCTTCAGACATTAGAATGTTGTGTAATAGCATTATGCTTCTTGTTGAAGACAGCAAATTAGTCTTTGTTTTAAATTCAGGTTTGAATGCCATCTTGAAATCGATTGCTTCCGAGATTAAAAAACAATTATCCTCTACAGGAAGAACATTACAGATTGCACAGACAATTAATTGTATCTGCTGTTTTATGAAGACTAACAACATGTGTTACTGTTAAAAACATCTTAGCTTGATAATCTGCTTTTTCCAAGAGCTTGTCCCAAGTATCTTGGAAAATGTTTTCAAATACAAATCGGATTTCCTCAAGCATGTTATTATTATAAAAACTCCTGTTCTATCGAGTATTTTAAGCTTCCCTGTAACGAAATACCCAGAGTCCTGGTTGAATTTGTGAATATGCATGTTCTCAATGTCATTATCATCCAATTCAGCCAGCACTATCTAAGGGTATAGGTAACTATAATGTGTATTGGAAATTAAGGAAGTCTCCATTTATATCAATTTTACAAGCAGCGGACCTTGATGAATTTACAGAACAGTTGAAATGTTAGCTATCAAAATGCCCGGTAGGCGTTGTAATAATGTGACTGTGTATTACATCTATGGCCTGTTAAAATCTTTGCATCTCTGTGTACATTTCGCGGGAATAGACAATAAAGAGATCAACGTTTGCCTATTACTATCTACTCTACACCGCCGTAATTCGGTAGTGGAATTACCATAAAACAGATGCAAAGGTTTTTGAGCAATGACGTCAACGCAAACGGCATTTGAACCCAGGATTGTTTGTGCCACGCCCTACTCATTATATTCCTTTACTTCCTTTCAGAGGTTTAGAATAACATTACTTGCAGTATGAAGAAACATAATGCGATCATAATTATTATATCCGAACGCGTAGCGACACCAAGTTTTAGTCAACATCTGGATTTAGTCAGCAAAGCTTAGTCAACCTAACGTACGGTCTTCTCCCAAATATGAATTGTATCGTCCAAGCTATATAGGTACGGTATCTTATTTACTTTGAATCGGACTTCAAAGAACTAGAGTCGGTTAATAAATAAATTTTATTCCGTACCTGCATGTTAGCAATTCTGCACATCTCGTGAGCAAAATCGAAAGACGAGTTCAAATGAGTTGAATGTTATTTGTTTGGTGATATCAGAAATGTGGATAATATTAATTAAATAAAAACTCGTCATCCATAAATAAACGATAAAAATCACGTACATTATGAGAATAGGTCTTCACATAACTGATTCAAGATTGCAAGTATGTCCAATGTTTCGAAATGTATTGTTTGTCTTAATATGTAATCGATAATTACGGTAATTGATATCGATATGTTGACATCATGACACATGGTAATAGTGAGGGAATGCGGTCTAAACTGAGTTAAAATGAACTTTGACTTAACAGAGATATATTTAGAGTATCATTAAATAAAAGAAGACCTTGATTATAAGTAATAATGTTTCCTAGTCCCGTATAATAATATAAAGCTTGCATAGTTAGCGTAAATCATGTTGTTGGTGGCGTAATGCAAAGAGTGCACACTTATTTTCCTTAAAAGGAATTTACAATGAAGTCCTTTTATGCTACGAGCAAAGGTTGTACTTGTAAAATTTTAAACATTGACAATTTACTGATGTTTTTGGCATGTTTTTTACACCGCAGCAATATTTTGATGCTGTACGAGCATAACTCATTATGCTTGGTTCTTACCACAAATTGACTTGCCTATTATGCGTAATAATAATTACCAAGATGGGGGGAGGTCCCCAAGACGTGGAAAATCTTTATTATTGTTATTATTATTACTGTATTATTTTGCCAACAACATGGCCTATTTAGGGTATGATCGTTCAAATTAAAACTCCCACTAGTCTAAACACTCGTTTTTGACGCTTTGTTTTTACATTTCAAAACCAACTTTCAACCATTCCAAGTTGTTCTCTCTCTTTATTAAGACATTTTAATTTCTCGGTTCGATCAAAAATTTCATTGCCGACTCTGAAATTACACGACACCATGAGACTGCAGATCGGCTAGAATATCCATATATATGCAATAACATACATTACAGTATTATACGAAAAGATCGAATAATCGTGACGTTTGTCATCAAAAAACCACCAATTGATAAGATTGCATCCATCTGTTTGACAAAATAGCTCTGTCGGACCCCATGTCTTTTGACTTAAAAAATTAGTAATAGGGTCATGTGGTTATTTTATTTTAAATTGAATAATAATAACACAATAGTTAGTAAAAATGACAATAAGATAACTTAAAGTCGTACCTATTATCATTACCTAAAATCAGGTTGCCTGATTTAGAACTCGCAATAAAGATAAACTTCCCATATTTTACCTTTTGATAATCATGTCGTACAGTCTACGCGGTTTGAACAATAACAGTCTGTCAAACTATTTGCAGCCATCGTTAAACAAAGCAAAACCATCCCGCTTTGATTAATTTATCGCAGGAAGACTAAATTGCACACGTTTACTTTGTTTTGTTTGCAGCATAATAATAAGCATGCGTGTCTGCCCATGGAAACAACGCTTTGTCTGGGATAAATTTTATTCAACCTGTGTAATCCATCTGAAAAGTTTTCGAAACGGCTTTTCGTTCTATTCCTCTTTGTGCGAGGGGTTACATATCTTTGTTAAGACAAGGCATTGATATATTAGGAAATATTTATGCATTCATGAGTGACCGGAGAATTTTTTTTTCCCCATCCAGTCATTGCATAGGTTCAAGTTACTGACAACAAACAATTCTTTGTCCGAATTACTAGTAATCCCTTGTTCTTTCTTGTTTATCCAATAAAACATCATACTACAAAGAAGGGGGTCGAAAGTGACTGTCATTGGACAACGCTTTTGTGTGTGGGTGTGTGCGGGTGCGTGTGTGCGGGTACGTGGGGGGTGTGCTTATTATCTTTATGCTTTGTATTTGAACGTGGTACGGTATTATGTAACCGCTCCGAAACAATAATCCGACCGACCAATTTTGTAACGTTGCAATCTCGCCATCTGATGAGAACATCATCTCGATGTGTTGTTAATCTGCAAAATTTTTTTTGGAAAAGAAATAATTACAACGGGTTTACTAATCTTTATTTCATAATTAAGATATTCCCCACTTTAGCTAAACCCATCTTTCACAAATTGATATGATACAAGATAGGAGGGAACAAAAAACGTGTTTCGGCAAACTTGTGTAAATCGTAGCAGTGATTACAAAAAGAAAAGATTAGCTACAATAAAGAAAGCAGCACAGCTACATCTTTATCAAATCTATATAATAGAAGCTCTATATGTTTTATTCCAAACGCCTTCTTTATTCAGCTACTTCTTTAACAGGATTCTTCTTTCTTGCAATCAATACAACCCTCTGACCCACGGTCTTGGATTGTACAACTTCCTTTCTAAACTTTTCAATTAGTTTTCTCATTCCTTCTTCTCCAGTTCCTCCGATTCCCAACCGCTCTCCAATCTCATCTGAAAATCTCATCAAAATTCCGCACAAGTCATCCAACCATCGGATACCCTCAACGTCACTTACAGATCCCAGTTTTATTTTCTGTGTGCTTAGTTGAACGCATTCTAATTGCGGATATGATAAGAGTGTGGGAACAAGGTGGTTGCGTGGAGATGTTGATAGGCCCAAGGATAGTGTTAAATGGTTCAAGGCTGTATTGAAACATATATAGAAAAGTAATGAATAAATTGATTTCTGTTACGTAGAGTGCACGTGCTCTAAAATAACACATTTATGTTCGTTTCCAACTCACCTTCTTCAAGCATCCTTTCGCCATACGTTCCCAAATTTGCCAACTCTAGATCGTTTTCAGCGATTTCTATCCATCCTCCAGGCTTTGTAACTCTGATCAATTCCGTCACAACATAATCCAATTTATTTGTAGGAATACTCAGTCCCATACCACTCATGTGAACAAAATCGAAATAGTCGTTTTGAAGAGGTAGAGGGAAAAGAGTGTGACATGGGATAAAGGATGTGTTTGGTGGAGACGTGAGAATGGAAGGCGATGGAAGAGACGTCGTAAGCGAAGTGCGGTATAATGGCAAAGAGGGTGTAGTTGGGGGTGATGATGGGAGAGGAGGGAGTGTTGATTCGTTTGAAAGGTAGGGAAACGAGTAACAGTGAGACAACGAAAGTGAGTCTATTCCGCAAAAATGAGACCATCTGTATTTGGCTGCGTTCGATAAAACCCAGTCACCTCTTACGCAACTGATATATAATGAATGGGGAAAGGTGAGGGGAAGGTGGATGTTAGATATTAGAGAAGTCGGTTTTTATAGGCGGTGCGCTAGCATATCAACTTTTGAACGATTTACTTACCCAATATCTAATACTCTTGCTTGGCCAGATTCCATCTTTTCTTGCACCGGCGCAGTGAATTCGCCTTCGTTCTGTATTCTCATTACTAGTCTTATTATACAATTATCGTCTTCATTTTGCTTCTTAATATTCTTAGAGTCTCCTCTGCTCTCGACGTTATTCATGGAAGAATTAAGTATTTTTTGGCCCAACGGTAACTGACTTCTATTTCTAACCACATTAGATAGATCTGATTCATCATTTTCGTTCAAGTTATCCGTACGGTTTATTTTGATTTTGTTTTTGTTTCTGATTTTAGTTTTTACATCGCCTTCGTTGTTTATAGTGGAGGGTGATAATGGAGGTTGAAGTATGTACAAGTCTGTTGATGTGTCGTCTATAGTGGTAGTTCTTGAACAACAAGAGCCCATTTGAAAAAAGTTGATGCAAAACGTGTGGATTAAAGAAAAATGTATTTCTTGAATGCTTTCTATATGAGAAATAAACGAGTGGTATTCTTGACTGGTGCGATAATGGACCTTGAGGGAATGTATATTCGATTTTCTTCGATAGTGGGCGGGAGTTTTTATTCGTTATTTGTTACTAGAGATGGTCTTAACGCACCGAGTCGATATCAGTAACGAAACATATGACCGAAATTCTTTGTAAATAGATATTCTTTGAAAGTCATAAAATTCGGTCATGCATGCGAGTAAACCACGTATTTATGTAAAATTTAGTCCTACTCACAAAGTCTTGCAGTGTTTATGCATTACGAATTAGATGTGCTTCCGTCTATGCTTTTGACAGTAAAATTAGAGTTCATGTGTAGCATATAAGTAGTAATGATGTTGAATATAAGCTATTAATAACAAATGGTGGGATTCTGTGATACCCGCCATTTTGCCTATTATGGAGCGAGTTTACTCTCCGTCTCCCTTGTTTGTCATTCGTTCTTTTCTTGGCCGATGGCGTCTTATTGGGTAACCTTGCCCTGATCGACGAGGCCGAAGATGAGAGATAACGCTCCGATTGTGGGCCATAAATATGTATGTCAAAACAAATAGATAAAGAACAATCGATACGAACCCTGTTTATGTTACGTTGATTAGATAATTGTGGTGATAGTGTGGCTCGATTATTTACAATCATTAACTTACAAATCATTACACCGAGGGAAGGTTTGAGTGGGGGTAAAAGAACTGTGTTTAACGGTAATGCAGGTATATCTGCGTCTATATTTGATATCATTAAAAAATATGAATTGATCACAGGTATCACTTTATCGAATTTTTGCTTACGGAAATGCTGTAAGATTATATCGTTGCAACTTCGGTGTTTGGATTTATTTGGTAAACAATCCGTTAGTCGTTTTACGTGAGATTGTACCTGCATCAACCAGACATGTGTCAATTCGTAACCAGTCTTCTAATGCCGGTCAGAAATTAAAAATGTGATCATTCGGAATCCCATCTGATTTCACAACAAGCCAACAATCAAAAAAGAGGGTTAAACTGCTTATTCATTGTAATAGTCCATATTGTTTTACAAGAGAGTTCTTCAAACGTTGGATACTGTGTCTGGCGGTATTACGACAGTGTTCGATAACGGGGCCTTCCCCTGTACAGTGTTTAGAGATAAGCTGTTCGTGTCATCTTCTTATCATGTTCAATTTAAATTTTTTTTACAAGGCATTCTTGATTTAGACTAGTCGGTGAAGGCTTAACGACTTGGCTGCTCTATGGGGGCGTCGCCAAGTTGACAATTAGGCATTGGTTTGCGAATAATAAAAGACTTTTGATCCAACTAGTTTAAGTTATTTGAAATATTTGACTTGGAAAAGATAAATTTAACCTAATTTGCGTTATAATTGCAAATTGTTAATTAACTTTACTATATTAACTATCAGGTAACCTAATTACTTGTCTATCATAATTAAGCTGTGTTTTCCTTCGGTTTGAATATATTTATGAATTCGTAATTAAAAAAAGTCTTACATCTGTTGTACAGTTACCAAGCACAAGTCTAGACTAAGTTTTTAGGCCATTCAATTGACGTAATTAATATCATCTTTCGGGAAAAAAGAAGGTTTGAATTTGTGTAAGCTCCTTAAATATGCCAAACGACAAAACTCAGGAGTGAGCAATCTATTAAAATGTCACATAATACTTGAACATAACTCGCAGGCTAATGGCGTTCAATACCTTTTTTCCCGAGCTTGTTAAATTAATATTGTTGCCTTGATTTCGAACAAATAGTCAAAGGTATGCGATTACGCAGACAATTGACAATCATATGAACCAATTTATGAACGTTGGAGGCGCATTTTGAGTATTATAAAACACGTGATAGGTTCATATGTATCATAAAGTACGAAATATCACCATATTTTATTTGGTCCAATTACATAAAAGTTCGGAAAGATCTATGGCAAAAGCCGCCTTTGTGTTGTACGAGCTACTCGTTTGAGAATTATATAATCGGGAGATTAACCTAATTAAGCGTCATAGCCTGGAATGTACCAATATCATGTAGCACGATGCGCTTACGTATCCATGATCAGAACAAGTAAAAAAGCTTTCGTATCTGCACAAAGACAATACGTACAATTATGCGTAGAGTCGATAAAGAAAGAAACGAGAACAATGATAATGACCGAATGGTGTTACCGGGATAAGAAATATCAATATTGTGTTGCTACTTAAGACCATGTCCATTATTATTCTTTTTCGTAAATTGGATGCTACATCTTTTGTTTGTCTTTGTTACTTACAACACTGACAATTCTTTAAGCCAAGCATTCATTATACAGTCTGATTTGTGCTTAAAGAAAGACATACTAGACCTTTTTAGTTCTGTTGAGATATGAGTTGGAAGTATTACAATGACAAATGGGTTGGAGTGTCTAATGGTTTGATGCTATGTGTAATATTGCATACGGTCCGCGGTTAAACATACAAATGTTCGGCGGTTAGGAATTGGAAAATCATTCGGAGTATGCGTCTCATCCAATCGCATGTTTCTACCAAATACAAGTCTCGCATGATTCTTAGCAAGTCCCGCTTTAACGAAGGTCTACCTTAACGAGGGTCTACCTTAACGAAGATGGTCTAATCTACATTAACAAAGACGATTAGCGGAACCGAACACTTTGTTACACCGGACTATTCTTTATTTCTATATCATTATCAACGCACTCTTCTGTAAAATAATTTGGTTAATTGTAAAATATATTGTTTTTGGTTCATATACTATCCGACTCTTATACTATTCCAACACGTATGGCAACTTACCAATCTCACACAGACTTTGTATAATTAAGCATGGAGTGTTTGAGAGAATTTGGCTGTAATTCTGACAAACCCACATGCGTTGTCTAAAGGCTGTGAATGAATACATTAAGTGCCACTGAAAAAATATCGCTATGACATGAAGAGTCTGCTGCACCACATCAACAGCAGACCGCTGGAAAAAGATGTATTAGAAATATTTATTTGCAATGTAGAAGGTTTGCATTTGTTAAATATTAATAGTGATTCGTTTTCAATACTTTATAATAGAACGAATGAAATATGCAACGACGAGTATTTGTAATTTAGCTGTGACCAAACCACCGATACGGTCCTCTTTCATCTTTGGTCTTTATGCAGTGACCACTTTTCTGATATGCAGTGAATCCTTCATATATGCACACCCTCCACATTCTGCATTCTTCGTTTCCCGCTATACGAGTTTCACCCCCATCCTCTATATGTGTACACTGTGATTTGCATGTTACAATAGTGATTGTCCATACAAAGACGATAAGCAGCTAATACGTGTTAATCGTTTGTTGATATTAATATGCATTGTTACGGAAAGAAATCCTTATCGATCTTTAAAGAAATCATAATGCAGACATTCGTTCTTATGCATAAGAACAGAAACACTATTTAACGTTTCGTTGTTAATAGTAAAAACTATCTTTGTCGTCATTAATACAAATTACCGATCGCAAATTGCTGCGATGCTGCAAGAATGTATTAATGCACTAGATTGTTAAATTAGTTTAAACTCAATGGATGTAATGAACAAATAATTTGTTGCTTCCATTCATGCATCCTTTCTCCATTCAATCGAGAGCATGCTTGAATGGAGGATTCACTATACTTGTGGATATTGCATACCACATGATAAAACGTTATTCAATGCTACATGAAGCTTACTCTGATATGGTAACACTACACATATTACTAGCATTAAACTGTCTATGAATTATTCAATTTTGATATGTAATTATCGTTGTTATTATCCTAAATATCAGGCTGCCATTCATGCCCTTCAAAATTATTCGGAACGTACAGTAAGTCCCCCATTAACTTTTGCATACTGCAAGATGCGTACGCATGTCACAATATACTTTTATATAATGAGCAAATAGCTAAGGTATAGTAAAATTATGATGGTAATAAATCTTTGTTCTATTTCAACAGTATCAATCTCTGGCCGCAAATGATACAGTTTACCCAAAAGTCGTTGAAAGTTGGGATTATCAATCATTTCTTAATTACTGGTTTTTAATTCTTATTATATTATGGATATCCCATCTTATTTGTATATTAATTCAGTTTCTTCATTTCTGTGATGCTTTGTAAATACGCTGTGTACGGAAAAGCAAGCAGAGCGAATGTTTAAATAAAAACTTGATGTGTAAAAGCCTAAACGATGCCAATCACTTTTTTTCACGTCTATTTTTCGTATCAATTACTGTTTCAGCGGACATTTACTCCCATGTCTCGGTTAAAATTTGCTCAATATCTTGCGGCATTCAGTCAATTTCCCTTATTTGGTTAATCGGAGCAACGGTTTTAGCCCACTCATCGTCTCGATAAAGCAAAAAATAAAAAGTGATTTCCTCCCGTAACGTTAAGCGAGATCCAACCGCTGCCTTTTCTTCTTCTCGTATAGCCCTGTTGCTTTACGAGAAACATTTTCATGCCTTGCAGTTTATGACGTTTGATCCAGTTTCCAATATTAATATAGTGTAACAATAATACTATTTATGCATCTGTGCATGAATATCACCTGCTGAACTTAGAATGAAGCGCTTTGTTACTAGTTTGTGGAAATAGTCATGCAGACACGTGTTCAATTTGACAAACCACTCCTTGGATCATGGGTTTCGCCCTTCCTTTCCAAAATGCTCCCTTCCATTCTCATCATCATTCTATTAATTCTGCCTTTCCCGCTCTTCCTGTACACATTTCCTGATATACTCTACAAATCTTTGCTGTCTGTACTTCATCTGTTATACAATATTCAAAGATTTACATCTTCTCTCGCACAAATACGTAAGCCAAGGATCACGGTGTCATATGACTCAATAAAACAGGTTATAAGCATAGTCGATAGGATTCCAAAGCATTTGGCTGTAATCTATTGGAGAAGGGTAGAAGAAGAAGAAGGCAACGGAGAGGGTGTCGAAATAGGTTATAGAGAAATCGGAAAATTAGCGTGCTGGGCCGCGAGTGCTGGGATCAAAGTGTTAAGTATCTACGAAGCGGAAGGTACAAGTATATGCTTGCTTGGATATGTAAGGGAGAGATGCGGGTGGGTTAGTGAATATGGTATTTTTGATTTGTAGGTAAGCTCAAGCGAATTGTCCGACAGTTGCAGCACCATGTTGATGCCGAAGCGAGGCGGTTCTTTGCAAGAGAAGGGAACATACCAATACTACGGGTTTCTGTCGTATATAATAGCTCATCAACGGAAGATATACAAGCAGGTTTGCTAAGCTTTCAAAGTTTATTCGTTCGCAAACATGTCAATATATTAACCCTTTGTATGTCGGCTAATACAGATCTTCAAATAATACTATTATCTCGATCAGACGGCCGTGGACGTATAGTTGAAGTGACAAAGTCACTAGCATCCGAGACATCACTAGGCAACCTTCAAAGCGACGCTATAGACGTCGAGAGGATTGATCAGGCTTTAAGTGGTAAACAAGTTCTCCTTCTAAACGACAAGGATGTTGATCTAGAACTAATGCGTATGTTCTGATTTCAACAGATTCTCATTTCACTGAACCACAGCAGTTGATTATGTTTTCTCCAGAGATTGACTTGCAAGGTTTTCCTCCATGGCAGTTGAGATTAACAGAAATCTTGTGAGTCTGAATCGGATTATCTTATAATTGCTAACGTTGTACCTTTCGCTAACTGATATCTTTTTTTCATAGTCATATCGCTGGCAACAAGCATTTTGACTATTCGGTTTTCCAAGAAGCATTAATTAAATATGCAAAAATAGACAAAAGATTTGGACGATAATTTATTAAACAGTCTAATACTCTATGTTATTCAAACTTAATTCCTTGAGCCAATGGCAAGATTCCAGAATAGTTTATAGTACAAGTAGCTCGTCTCATATACTATCACGATAATAATAATGATGATAATAATAAATAATAATAATAATTCGTTAATTCGCAATATTAGATATAAATCATTGAGCAATGTTTCGCAAGAGTGTTGTATCTAAAACAAACCTGTTTCCAACTATCCGAACCAGCCTCACGACCTCCACCTGTTTCTTTTTCTCCTCCAAAGGCACCACCTATTTCGGCGCCATTGGTTGGGACGTTTACGTTGACTATGCCAGAATCGGCGCCCGCTGGACTGTAATAAGAATCGAGTGTTTTTAACGAGCTGTTGTTCAAACATATGCATCGTAAATACTAATATCTTACCCGATCCACTTGAATATATGTTCTGGTTTAGTCGTAAATAAGCTACTACTCAAGCCTTGCTTGACCGAGTTATTCATGGCAATAGCATCACCGAGTTCCTATCCAAACCATCGCAAGAAAGAACTGTATTAGATACATCATCACATTGGCGGCACTCTAAAACAAGCCATCGCATTTTGTTTCTGTAATATATTTAACCCACCTTAAATTTGAATACATGCAGAATGGGCACAAATATCTCATTCTGCACGACCGGCGCATCATGAGAAATACGCGTCAAAGTGGGTACAACATAATTGCCTTTTAAATCGTCTAAAACCCGCCCACCAAAGAGAACTTCTCCATTCTGGTCCAGGACATCTTTTATTCCATCCCTATAAGCATTCACAGCAGCCTTTGTATGTAAGGGTCCGCATAAAACTCCTGCCTCAAGCGGATTACCTATCTTGACCTGAGTATACGCCTTAACCAGTTTCTCAAGAAATTCGTCATAAATCGCTTCGTGTAAGAACAGTCTTCTAGTAGTAGTACACCTCTGGCCAGCGGTACCAACAGCAGCGAAAAGTACGCTTCTCAAAGCTAATACTTGATCCGCATCATCCATTACGATAATGGCATTATTACCCCCCAACTCCAACAAGCATTTTCCAAATCTTTTCTGCACAATCTGCCCAACGCGCCGCCCAATTGCAGTACTTCCAGTAAAGCTAACAAGATTGACACGACTATCTTCAGCGATAGCCTCACCGACATCAGCACCTCCGCAAACGAGGGAGCAGATGGAACCAGGGAGGGAGTTGCGGGAGAGAACACTAGAAAGTAGTTTAGTCACGGCAACAGATGTAAGATTGGTAGTCGGTGAGCCTTTCCATATTACTGGATTGCCGCAAACGAGCGAAATAGCTGAGTTCCAGCCGTAGACGGCTACCGGAAAGTTGAAAGCAGTTATTACGCCCACAATACCAAGCGGGTTCCATTGCTCAGCCATAAAGTGACCTGGTCCTGAGTTTTGGAATTGACGTGGTAGTCAGATTAGCAGACGAAAAAAATCTTGTAATCGTAAACTATTTAATGTATAAATATGCAACGTATAATACCAGATGAAGCACAGAATATACTATGTAATACGCAAGATTCACAATATGCGATGATATAAAACAGACATTTTGTTAGCTGCACGTACGTTTCTGCTAAACGTGCTTCATCACTACAAAAAAAAAAACAAAACACTCACTCTCACTCGGTAATATCTTTCCACTAAACATCCGACTCAAACCGACAGCATAGTCGGCCATGTCAATGTATT